GCATTAAATACAGAACAAACTTTAAAACAGTTTTCCCCCTGGGCTGTGAAGGCAATCATCCCCCTCTAGATCCACAATAGTCCATTTCATGACTAATGTTCTCTAAAAGGCTGCTTTAACATGAGCTGCACTTAATGTAAATAAATAATGCTATATCTCCATGCATTTATCCCATACTTCGGTTTTGGGTTGTTACAGACGCTATTAGTGCTCCAACTTTCCTGTTCCATTAAATGTTTATGTTTTGTTATGTCTTACTTCTTGAGGAACACTTTTAAAGATGCTCATTTATTTTGAAATTGTTTTAATTCTGTTTGTGTTCTATACATGTGTGTTCTGAGCAGAGTGTCTCAACAGAAATTGCATTGTAGGTCCAAAATAACAATACAGATTCTGTATTCTTAAATTGAACCTTGTGGAACACTACAGTAACATTTGGATAAACACATTATATAATTGAAAGAAAATATGTTATTTAGATACATTTTATTGTGTAAGTACAGCACACAAGATTTCAATGTATTTGTACTCATCTGTAGTGGAATGGTGTGTTGAGTGCTTGCAAGGCCACACGAGTGTAGCCACACAGTCAGTTCAAAACTCTGTTGGATTTCCTTAATGATCAGAATGAAGTCAGTGTAAACATTATTTCCATGCCAGTTCATAGCTATATTAGATCTTATATTGCCCATTATTGAGTATCCTCGTTGTGCCTCCCTGCACACATGCAGCTCGTTGGTTCATTACTGGAGGAGTATTTTAGCAGTGGTCTGTCACTACCTCGAGGCCAGAGTGTTTGCCAGTTCAAGTTCCTGTTTAAGTTCCCATCGGAAATCCAAGTGACAGTCCGCTCCATTACTCCTCTGGGTCCAACGTATGTCTACCTGTCCACTCTCCAACGAGTTCCCTCTTCTCTGGGAAAATCCCACACAGACTGGATTCAAGGATTGACAAGAACCCCCTCAGACGTGAGTCCCGCTCCAGCTTTATTCAGGTCACAGTCAAATTTCCTACGGTCCCTGAACTGATCTCTGTGGTCTCCCCTTAGACCTTCGGCCGGTTCACCAGTCCACTGAGTTCCAGATCCTACTCCTGTACACATTATAACAAATAAACCTGTTACACTTTTTCCCGTGTTTTCTGAGTGTGTTCTCTGTGTGTGGGTCACATACCTTAAACCGATCATGACAAAAGTAAAGTACAGATGGGAAAGTCTCAAGTTGACTCACAAGTTAAAGACTAAGAAGTCTCACGTCAAATCAAAGTCCTGTGTTTTAGATTTCAAGTCTTTAACAAGTCAAAAATAAGCTATCCCTGAAACGACATGAGGAAACAAAAAATATGGACATTTATTAACTGTTTTCTTATTTTTTTAATAAAATGAGAACAAGTAATCCCAAGAAAAGATTCAGTAAGGGTTTAGATTAAGGGGTATTTTAAAACCATCAAGACTGCTATATATATATACATAACATATATTTCAATTATGCAATACATGTTCGTAGCTTAGCTAGACAACAACGTCTTAATCCCACATACTAATGTACATACTTGCATTGGTTATTTCATGTGCAAACTTTATTGTCATTTTCTATACACAGAGTGTATGCAAAATAAAATTTTGATGCATACAGCTTTTTCAACAGTGAATGAGCAGCTTAGCAGTGAAATGAACTTTTCAATTTTTAAAGTGCAGGAGTGATCAAAATGTAAACAGTGTGGAAGAGACATGGTGCAAAAGGCATTGATGTGGAAGATTCAGAGCAGTGCAAAATAAATAAATGAATATTGTGCAAAATACAGTTGAACACAGAGTTGAATTCTATTTAAAGGGATTTGAAAATTCACCATGTAGTGCAAATATGTTTACAGTGTGATGAAGAGTCTCGATTTGTGATGTGATTAGAGTTTCAACAGTCTGATGGCAGCGGGAAGAAAGCTGTTGCAGAACCTGCAGCGAGTGCTGCAAAGTCTCTTCCCAGAGGGCAGCAGGGAGAACAGTCCATGGTGGGGATGTAAGGGGTCATTGATGATGTTACGGGAGGACACTCACTACACAACACAACATTATCATATCCTTTTTCAGCCAACTATCTGTAGGATACTGACGCAGACGACCATACACAGGCAGTAAAAAAGTCTTCTGAAATGTTCATAAGGGAGGAAACATTGAATAAAATGCTTTTCAATGGAAACATGCCTTCTGTTATATTTTAGCATCTCAACTACAATGGTAGACATCATCACTGATTAGAAGCTGTTGCTAATAGGAATAAAGCAACAGTGCGGCATCTTAAATGAACAATTAAATGTTTATAATCTTATTGCATCCATTTGTCTTGCTGATGAAGGTTCTCAGTCATCCAGGTCATAGTCATCCCGTAAAAATTCAAAAAATATCCACTGGACTTGGTTTTCAAGATTTGAAGACGTTTCGCCACCTCTCCAGGAAGCTTTCTCAATTCAAATGTCTGGATCCGCAGTGAGTTTGAGTCTTACATAGACAACGCCTTGTATCGCTTGGAAACATGCAATGGTAACCGATGAATGGGTCGTTAGTTCCATCGTTAGCCTGTAATATCTGAACCTGTCTATGATTCTAGGGGTCGGTCGTTAAAGGGGGGATTGCCATTAAGGGGGGGGGGGGGGGGCCCCCTATAATACCTGAAACCTGTCTATGATTGTTAAGGGTTGGTCGTTAAGGAGGTATTGTTCACCGGCTGGGGCGGGTAGGTCCCTACCAAGTCCAGTGGATATTTTTTGAATTTTTACGGGATCCATTTGTCTTGTTGCAGTTTTAGTGAAATAAACAAACAAACAAACATTAAATAAAAAATCTTACCTCTTTGAATCTTCTATAGACATTCGGTGTTAGGAGAACTTAAAAGCTGTTAGAGAACATTATGGAACAAACAGGATCATTATGAACTAGTAACCAATTTTTATAGCACAGTTCAGTACAAGGACAGTTCAAAGTGCTTTACATGATTGAAAAAATTAAATAGAAGAAGAATTTTTTAAAAGCAAATACAGACAAAAACATGGTACAAGCAGGTGGTAAAGCAAATAAAACAGTTGGATCACAATCTGAAACTATTGATACCTCAGTTAACAGTTTAACAGTCAAATGCAGTTCTACACAAATGTGTTTTTAACTTTGACTTAAAAGAACTCAGGCTTTTATCACTTTTACAGACTTCTGGGAGTTTGTTCCAGATAAGTGGATCATAGGACCTAAATGCTGCTTCTCCATGTTTGGTTTTACTTCTGGGTGTTCAGAGTAGGCTTGAACTAGAAGACCTGAGTGGTCTGGGGAGCTGGTACTCTGACAACAAATATGTTATGTATTGAGGTGCTGATCCATTCAGTGATTTATAGACTAACAGAAGGCTTTTATTGTCCATTATCTGAGATACAGGGAGTCAGTGCAAGACCTTCAAAACCAGACTGTTGAGCTCTACTTTCTTAGTTCTAGTGAGAACAAGGGCAGCAGGGTTTTGGATCAGTTGCAGCTGTCTGATGGACTTTAAGGCAACCCTATGAAGAGACTGTTGTATTTATCATGTCTACTAAAGATAAACATATGAATGAGTTTTTCTAGATCCTGCTTGGACATTAGTCTTTTAATCCTATAGATCAGGGGTAACCAACTAAAAATCAGCGGGGTCCGAATAAAGAAAATGAACAACCAGCAGAGGTCCGGAGACATTTTCAATTAAAATTTGTTACTTTAAACAGCATTTAACATTGAAATAAAAATGCAGGTGTTTCTGCATTCATGTTATACATTGAATTTCTAAATAAAAAAAATATAAAAAAATAAAGCATTTTTCTATTTTAAAATCTAAAGTGTTTAAATGATTTAAATATTTCACAAAACACCTAAAATGACCATTTGTTTTTGTTTTTTTTCTTTCTTTTTTATGGCTTAATGATAGACGTGGTCTTTAGGCTGCCCTGCAAGGCTCTTAAACCTAGGTTTGATTGGCAACAAAGCCATTCTAAAGCACATATCAAGGTGCTCCTTCGTGAGCCTGGATTGTTATTTATTATGGATTATGGTCATGGTGGAGAATCCTGCTTCACACCAGTAGGTTGAGCCAAACACATTCAAAATGTGCAGGTTCATCTTTGAGCACCCCATTTCTTTTCTTTCACTAGTTCCCCGCAGTTCTTCCAGCAGTCCAAACTCTCTCCGTTCTCTTTTTCTCATCGTCTTCTCCTTCTTCCCCATCGCCTGGCTTGCCACAGGTTTTCCTGATGTGTCTAAAAGTAGTTTGCAGCAGCAACCCTGACTGACAGCAGCTCATTGGCTAATTTGTATCACGTGTAGCCTGGTGCCGGACGCTCCGGAGGGCTTTACCTTTTTAACGGGAGAAGCTGTGCAAGTGAAATTAGACACTATTTTCGGACAACATGCAGTAATTTATACATTTTTTGTATCCGGTTGGGTCCGGGTTAGCCAGCAGGTGGGTCCCGATCCAGACCCTCGTCTGCTAATCCGTGACCTCTGCTGTAGATGTCCTTTGGATGATAAAAGGCTTACTTGGTCACTATTTTACCTCTAGTTTATTTGTTCAAATGACAGACTAAACTAATCTTCACAAATTGTCTACATGAACTTTGAATGAGGGTCAAAGTGAACAATCAAAAATGTTTAAGTCTGTACATCAGTTGGGAGTAAAATATCCCGAAGAGCTGCAGGAAAATGATGTATCATTATTCAGTTACACTATTTATGTCTGTCACTTGGCTCTGTATAAAAATAATCAATCTGCATGGTGTCATGTCCCGCAGAGGGTAATATTGAGTTAACGTGGCGAATTCTTCTTCCGTAGATATTCTTAAGGCATTTCGTTTTATAATTATACAAATTTTAAAAGATGCATAGTTTTAGGTTTATAAAAGAGGATGCATGTATTTTTAAAGGGGGACAGGGGGTTGTCTAATTTGATAAGCATTCTTACTTTATGGAATCAACACACAGAAACATATTGCAGCATTAAAAATGTTTTATTTTTCCTCTTTCATTCAGCATTGTTATATAGACAGAAGTCCATATTAGGTACAACTTCAAGTTGCTCATTCTTACAACAAAGATTATGTTGCCATTTCTAAGGATAACTGAAGGTGTTCAGGATGTTAGATCTGCTTTATCCAGTACTGAATGAAAAAAAAAGAGCCTTTAAAGATCTTCAAAGAATCCCATAAGGACCATTAATTCAGAAATTTGTTGGAGGTACTCGGAAAAACTAATGGTGCCATCACCGTCCTCATCGAATTCTTTGAACATATGATTCAGTTGTTTATTGTCTCCCTGTCAGATAAAAGAAAATGTTTAAGTTATTGTGGAATTTGACTGGATTATAACCGTTTGCTACAAAAAAGATAGAAAGTTTACTTACAGCAAGTTCAGGTAACTCAGCTTTTAGCAGACTAGAGAATGCACGCTTGGAAAGAGTCTTTTTGTCTCCATCTTTCTTTGCATACTTATCGAAGGGCTTCCTGAGAATCTTCATTGCTTCTTCAATCCCAGCCATGGCAGCTAAAACAACAAATCATTTAAGTTTATATTTGTGGTTGAAAATCAGCTAAAACAATATATTGTTTTGTCATGAAAATCTAAGTGTGGTTAATCCTTTATTAGTGTAAACCTTTATAGAACTACTCACAAAGATGGGGAAAGATTTTATAGTTATCAAATGAGCAAAAACTTAAACTCATGACCTTCTTAACCAGATAACACAGCTGAGTGTGGGATAAAGTATGGCTAATGTACAGGTTTCTACTGATCAGTGTATATTTATTTTGCATTGAGTTGATTTATCCTTATCAAATATTAATTCATTATACAGTATTTTCACTGTAGCTTTCTAAACTGATAAAAACAGTACTCACAAGGTAAGTTTTAAGTTGGTTCTTCTATGGATTTGCACTCAACAAATTACTGTAATGTAATCAATCATTCTCAGTCAAATGTGATCTGAAGACTGCTAACGCTGTAGCTATCTAGTCATAAAAAGCAAATATGCTTCTTTTTTATTCTTACCAGTCTGTATGGATATGCAGTAGAGCCTGAGGAAGAGAGCTGGATGTGTGAGGAGAGCGCATAGAGGAGGCCCTTTTAAAGCAAACTCGGACACCTTGGCTCCAAGCACCACCCAATCCCCACCAACTTCCTCATTTCTTTAAGATTGTACTCACCTTGATTTTTTTTTGTTGCTTTTTCTTGTTTTTAGTAATCAAAGCATTCTGAGACTGATAGAAATGTTGTTTTTCAGTGACTAAACTTCTATCTTTTAACTTGTATCTTTCTCTCAATAGGCCCTTTAGAGGGGATAGTTGCTTAATTTGACCACATCACAAAAGTAATAACAAATAAATACAAACACATCAATACATAGCATTGATTGCAATGTTATTTTACAAATTATATGCCGTAAAAAAAAATCAGATTAAAGAATTACCTTACCTTAAACTGCCTAAATCAGTATTACAGAAAGATCTTGATAAGGACAAGCTTAGTCGAAACAACTTTTCGAAAACTGTTGCAGGAAATTTTTAGAAAAATCATTCACACAAGTGTAAAAGTAAGTACCATGTTTTAGAAAAGAGTAAATGTTTGCAAAAAGCCTATTATAAATCATGACACTGAATAAAAATGATACAGAAAACTCCCACCTAAACTGTTTATGACAGGAAATTTCCTAATACACAAATCAACAAGATAGTTGGTACACCTTGTTTCATTAAAGAAAACCACACAATGGTAAGAGAAATAACTTAAATCTGATAAAAGTAATTGATAAGTATTATATGAAAATAAATAAAAGAAATGAAAGTCAAACATGCTTCAACAAAATGATTTAAGAAATAAACTCATGAAACAGGCTTGGAAGAAAATTATGGTACAGTATGAGCGCTCCTAAAAAGAAAATTTAAAAAACCAGGACCCTTGAACTCTGTTACCTGAGATATGCTGCCGGAGGTTCTGATCTCAGGCAGCAACAGATTTCTTTGAAACTTAAAAGTTAAAAAAGGATGTCATAAAGGGATCTAAACTATGTCTCAAATTTAACAGCAATAATTCTATAATAGTGTTCCTTAGCATCATACTAAATTATTGCAATTAACCAAATTAATGTCCTACAGTAAGCTAATAATTAATACCAACTTCATGACATATTTTTCTTTAAATATTCTCAATTTACCTTAACAGTTTGAATTAAATAAGACTAAAATCTAAATACGCGAATTACATTTCTTTTTTCAACTGCTTTAGGGTTTTCCTAATTCAGAGGTCTACATGCACAAAAATTACTTTCTATATGTTTATAAATTTAGTAGGTACTTTAATCCAAAGCGTCTTACAAAGTAGAGACAATATTACAGTTATCATCATTATGACAGTAAGTTCTTCAGAGGAAAATCCCTAGTCAGAATCAGTGGTGAAAGAAAAGAGGTAGAAGTACAGAAAGATTCATAGAGGAGCACAGGGCTATGGTTAAGAGTAGAGTTGTGTTGAAGCATTTTATCCCAAAGTCTAAATAACTGTAAATGGGTCTAGTTTACTTGAATTATTTGATCAAGCCACTCCTTCATATGGCTGGTAGGGATATTCTTCAGTTTGACTGTATTCTTTTTATATCATTGAAAAAAGCTAAAAAAATTTCCAAATATTAGGATAACATTTTTTCCATAGTTCTTTGATTTTGGGTTATCCATGCATAAAAGTTTAAGATGCCAAAGGTTTTTACATTCATCCATGCAAGCAATTATATCCATCTATAAACGACATCTGACTCTCCAGCAATCATACTCTTATAAAAGAAAACAACTTAAGATTTCCAGAGAACTGAATGAAAACACCTCGGAACAAAAGAACGTGAGAAGACACCTGCTTAAGCTGTTAGAAATGTCATTTTCAACTAGCGAAGGATTCCTGTGCTATTACATCTGTTGCAACATGTTTGCTTTACATGTCAGAACATGGTCTGCATTCAAGTGAATTTTTTTTTTAAATATGCTCTAATTATTCTGATGTTGAAAAAGTAGAAATCATAATCCTAACTGAATCAAAAGAGGAAAAGTTAAGTTTTATGTACTGATGTTGTAAGAGAATCAGTAAATGTTTGGATATAATATTCTACCATCTTCTGTAATCAAATAGAAAGGGCCCAGGAAAAAGATCCATTATATATGATCTGAAGTTAATCTTTCCATCTCAGGTCTTATCCACCTTGTACATACTTTTATGCAAAACTTCCAGCATAGTTTTGTCTACATCTTTTTGGAGGGGAAAACACTGCTGATTTGCTCAACAGTTTCTTCTCATAACAGAGACACCTATTGAGCTTGTTTAACATTACATTTTTATGTAGACAATATTTTTGTTTCATTTTTTTCAATGTTTTTTTTGTGTGTCTGTTTATTGGTTTCCTCATACCCCAGTCGGCCTCAACACTAGCCCGCTTACACAGAGCCTGGTTCTACTAGAGATTTCTTCCTCTTTAAGTTCATTTTTCTTTCCACTGTCACTGTTTGCATGCTCAGAGTGAGGGATTAGTGCAAAGGTATTGACACCGAGCAAGGGGATACTCACTTTTGATCTGGCTCATCCAGGCACAGGGAATCCTGTAAAGTTAACTACTTGATGCAATCAGCTGTGCTTCCTTAGATATAAAACTTTTAAATAACCTCTCTAGGTGATTCGATTGAAATGTTTTGCTAAAATGCCTTTAGGTAACGTAGGTTTTAAATTGGCGGTGCATAAATAAACTTAATGGTACAGATAACCTGAAGACTCAAAGCATAAATATTGGTATTCATTACGGCATATAAACACTTGCTGAATTTACAATTTACTATTAAAAAACTAAATGCAACCAAATATTGTTTTTGTTGATGTTTGATTGAGTGTTGCACTTGGAAAACCTACATTTGGCTACTCATTTGAAAAGACATCCATGAAAAAAAGATACGATTTTTTAAAAATATGCCTGGTGCCCAACCCTTGCCAGTTTCACCACGTAACAATATTGACACAGCAAAAAGGCACAACCTGTTTTCCACAGTCTAAAGTTAAATCAGATTGAATTTTTATAAATCAGACTGAATATTTATATATGGCATGTAGATTTTAATTTTTAAATTGTTTTGGGGTTTTCAATTTAGAGGTTTAAATGAACAATGATAACTAAGTGTTAAAACAATTCATACCAAAGTAAACGCTTTTATTTATTTAAAATTACTTAATTCGAGCAAATCCTGCATACGTATTGTAGAGCAATTAATCGTTTTCACTGCATTCTTTTTTTTTATATCTTTGAAAAAGCTGAAAAATTTCCAAAATATTAGGATAACATTTTTTTCACAGATGTCTTTAAGTTTGGGTTATCCATGCATAAAAGTTTAAGATGCCAAAGGTTTTTACATTCATTAATTCCAGCAATTATATGCATCTATAAACAGCATCTAACTCTCCAGCAATCATACTCTTGTACAAGAAAACAACTTAAGATTTCCAGAGAACTAAATGAAAACACCTCAGGAGAAAGGCCAAAGAACGTGAGAAAACACCTGCTTAAGCTGGTGAAAATGTCATTTTAAATGAGTGAATGATTACTGAGCTATTACATCTGTTGAAACATGCTTGTCTGGGTTGGTGTACTTATATGTAATGTACATACCGTACAATTCTCTATGTTTTCTGCGTTCAATAGACATTTTGCAAAATTGCTCTCATTATTCTGATGTTTAAAAAATAGAAATCATAATCCTAACTGAACCAAAAGAGGAAAACTTCAATTTTATGTATTTTGTAAGAATCAGTAAATGTTTGGATATAATATTCTACCATCTTCTGTAATCAAATAGAAATGGCCCAGGAAAAAGATTAATTATAAATGATCTGAAGTTAATCTTTCCATCTCATATCCAACTTGTACATACTTTTATCAAAACTTCCAGCATAGTTTTATCTACATCATTTTGGAAGGGAAAACGCAGTGCTGATTTTCTGAAAATAAGCAGTGTTTCAGGCGCTGACTGTGTCGCAGTGTTGCGCAAGCTACTTGTCCAGTGCAGTGAGCTAAGCTATCGCTACCACCTAAAGAATTATAGCAAGCTAAGTTACACTAATGTGTTAACAGTAGCTTAACTACATCAGAAGCTACTTAACGTACCAAGCTAATGTCAATTCAAAAATGAGTCTGACACACTGGTTAAAATATTTATTAAAGATCAGCCAATGACATAACACAGTGTAAAAATTGCTTTATGATCAGCATATAAAAAAAAAAAAAGTAATTACTAGTAGACAAAAAAAATAAACAATCTGCTGTTTTTAGAACCAAATTAAATGTACTGTGTAGTGTTCTACACATCGAGACATGGCTATGAGTTTGCATTCAATGGACATCTCTAGGGAAAACAAAACCCTACAAAAGGCATCTTATTTCTTTAAGGTCTCCCTTAGAAAAAACTTCTTCAGACCTCAATTAAACAGTAGATTCAAGTAACAAATGAAACTGTTTACAGAAAAGGTGAAAAAATAAAGAAGCTAATTAAGATATATATATACATTTATGTCTCACTGTATAATTTAATTTCTACCTACATATTTATTCATTGTATTTTGGGGGGTAATTCATTGAATGCTTATTTATTTATTGAGCATGTATTTATTTATGTATTTATTTTTATACATGGGAGAGCTGTTCCTCCATACCTAAAAAATCTTATCTGTGCAAATAAGCCTTAAAACATCTGAACACGTACTTTTTATCAGAGGATTCAACAAGTTTCAAAATCTCTGAAGATAAGGCCACGGTGTGGTAGCGACAATTGGCTGCTCTTCTCGCTCTACTCCTGTTTCCTCCTCCATCCTGTGTGTGTTGATCTGTGTGTCTGCATGTGTCTGTGTGTGTCATTCTTTGAGTTCCACTGCAGTACGCATGCGCATGTTTCGTAGACACAGACAGGAGAGGCAGAATAGAGGCTCATGCGTGAATGTCCAACGAATAACTCCGATTGTTGTTTCAAAAATAGAAAACCTGGTTTCATTACTTAGTTTTACTGGATTTTGTAGCGTTTGTGGACGCTACGTCGCTACTTGATAAAAACAATAACGTCACTACTGGAAAGTTACTTGATAAATAAAGCAGCAACGC